TCCTCTTGGGTGTCCCTGCATCCCATCTGACCAGGGTTTCTGCTGATTCCCTGGATGTGGCAGAAGTGACAGTAACCGAAGAGGCAGAGGCTCAGGGGTGGGTGTTCTCTGATTCATAATGAATCAGCAGCAACGCCGCATCTCCCAAAGGCTGCCGCTTCCGACAGCTCTCTCACTGCAGTTATCTGTCCAAAAACATTAATTCTGTTTTAAGACCACTGTTTTGGACAAAGTTGCATTTATCTGAAATTTTAGCCTTTTTCTGGGAAAAGAAGTGGCTAGTTTTTCACCTGCACTGATCACTAGTGTGCGCCACGGCTCCCGTGTAGCAGCTGTGGGGTGCCCCTTCCCCTGTCATTAACACGGGGCGCACGGTGACCGCGCAGACCCTGCCCGAGTCACAGCTGCCAGAGATCAGCTGTGGCATCGGGTGAAAGATCTCGTTGGTTTCACAGCCAAAGACATTCTGCTTAGCACAAAGCATGCTAATGCCAGGGGTCTGCGTGTGCGCTGTGCTGGAAGTCAGGGCAAAAAAAACATTAATGTATGACTATAAAAGGGACTTGATCCATCCACTTCTTCCCCCCTCCTCCCAGAGCAGGGAGTATTTCTTAAAAATGAACACTGCGGCCACTTCTTTCCTCTTTTGAGCTTCTGTTCTCTCTGCAAAGAGCACTGCAGGACACGGTCAGTCATTATCCTAGAGTGCACAGACGCACACAGGCTCACATAACTCATATTGAGATATTGAGATTACTTGGCATTTTCTCCATCAAAGAGTGACTCAAGATGTTAAAGGATTTCCATTACCCGTTTTCTAGTAATCAGTGTAAAAAATTATAACCTTTTTTGAGATACTGTATGACTCAAGTGCTAATCATTTAAGCTCATTATTTCCAAGAAAATACAAGAAGCCAGGGATATGATTCTATGATAGCCTAATGGCCAGCCAAAGTCATTTACGGTAACTTTTTTAATAAGGCATATTATTGCCCAGTATGCACAATGCAAGACCTTGCCCTTCTTAACCAGAGTGTTGCTCTTGATAAAGCATTTTTTATCATCTTAACTTGGACTATATTCTATATTTAAAAAAGTAAGTCTCTGTGCTCTGTTAGCAATATGCAAATAAGATCAAGAGCATGCTTTGAAAAGCAATCCTGACAGATGCAGATTTTCCACTACGTTCACATCCACTACAAATGAAACGAGCAAAGCCATTAAGTTAATTGCAACAGAAGTAAAATAACGTAGTACTCACATTGACCTTCATTTTGTTGTGTCCCGTTTCCCTGTTACTCCATCACCTAAGGAGAAGGATATGTTCTCCCCCAGCTCTTTCTCTTCCAGCCCAGTCTGGTGGATTAGACAGGAGCACTCAAGGCTCTGGCTGGAAGCCTGAAGAGCAAATGCCCAACCTCCTTCCACCTCCTGCTGCATTTGCTGGGAGCCCCAGAGGAGAGCAGCTAATTACGTAGCAAAATTATCTGCAGGGTGCAATTGGCCTGCAGCTGCTGATGCTAATGAGGGCCTGGTGCGGGACACACAGATGTCCCCCCTGCAGAGACCCCCAGGGAAACGCCTTTTCTGCTTTGCAACTGCATCTGAACAGGAAAACACGGGGCAGTGGAGATGGACCAGAAAGTGAGGATTGGATTTTGAAGCATTTTTGCACTTTTTACAGCATCATTTTTTCACTCCTGATTTTCTTTTTGTTCTTAAAAGTGGTTTGATACACTTTGAAATTTTCACGTTCAGGTCTGTAGAAAACTGATGTCCTTTGCAGTTACAGAAATCCCTGCAAAATAATCTTACTTTTCAGAGGCATAAAACCTGAGGAGCAAAGCTAAATGTTAACTGCAGCTGAAGGGTTTTGTTTATTTGATTATTTTTAAAAAAATATTTAATATTATTAAATAATAGTGTTATTTAAAAATATTCGTAGTTGCTATTTGCTCAGCAACAGTTCTGCTCAGGTTATGCTTATGCAAATGCACAGGTTTTACTGCTTTGTACTTGTGAATAACTTGGGGTTTGCAAACTTTTACTGGTTTTGCCTTCACACACTGCCTTTCCCCTGGCAAAAGTCTTTTCCTTCCTCTTTCCACGGTAGCTTCAAAATGAAATTAGAAAATTAGATGCTCACTCCCAAACCCACAATCACGTAACTAGGAAAGCAATGCATCTTGAATAGAAAATGCTGAGTTGAAAAGGCTTTCTCAACCAAATCACCTCTCAACAAATACACCTCTGGGCTGGGGCTCAGAGCAGACAAGCAGCTAAGACAGTTGTCCAAATGGGAAAGAATTCCTGGCACAAAGCAGCTCGTGTTAATGCCTTTGAGGTTTTTCTTCCTCTTTTTTTTTTTCTGTTAAATATTACAACCAGCAGTTTAACTAGCTTGAACGCTCCACTTCATGCAGAAGATAAAGAACAGCCATTTACGTACTACCCTGGCATTTTTGAGGTGCTACCAGCATTTGAAATGATCCAGAAATACAAGTAACGAAGCCACAACTTGGCATTTTTGAGGTGCTACCAGCATTTGAAATGATCCAGAAATACAAGTAACGAAGCCACAACTTGTGGCCACAAAACTACTTTCACACACAATTTGATGTTCTCTTGAATTAATCCCAGGCAGGACCCCTGCCATGGCGGGGCAGGGACACCTTCTGCAGACCGTGGGTGACCCACGCTGGGGCAGGGACAGAGGCACAGAGGAGTGGAAGAAAACGGGCGACCATCACAGAGCAGCAGCCAGAGAGCTTTTCCCCCAACTCCAACCTCCTGTGCCACCGTCATCTCCTTAAAGGAACTGGGGTGGACTGAGTGTACCCCAAACAAAAATAAGGCAAGTTGAGACTAGGAGGGGGGAGGAAAGATGCTTACTTAAGTGCTTGCTTAATTGTTCATGGTTTATTCTTTCTCAATCACTCAAATCAGTGATTAGAAGTTTGTGCTAACTGGCAATAAATTAAATGAGATGAAAATTCCCTGGGTCAAAATTGTTTTGCCTATGACAGAACTAAAGTTTTACCTCTAAGATTTCCCCAGGAAAGCTGGGCCTCGACTCCGCTTCCACCTGACTGCATCCCTGAGAATAGCCCTAAATTTATTGTCTGAGGCCTGGGAAATTGGAGACTTCGCCATTGTCTCCAGTATTTCCTCTTGGCTATTTCAGTAACTCCTTGCTCAATATATCAGCTCTGGCAAATCCTATTTTTAAACACATATTTTCTCCCAGGTGTTTGAGATGGAGACTGGGGGGTGACCATGGGCACTCTAGAGCCACGGGGCTGTAGGTGCACCATGCCTGGGTGCTGAGGAGCTCACAGAAATAAATCTCACATCGTTCTTCACGCGCTTGTTTATGGACAAGATGGGAATATGTGAACTGGGCGTTTGGGAAGGGGAGACAAACTTTCTATCGACTTAATGTGTGTTTAAACAATGCTCCTGTTTTTTGGCCACAGCA